TATGATATGTTTATTTAATGCAGCAGCAGATTCATCTCTGGGTTAATCGCTGCCTCTAGCATCATGACTGCATTTTCCTGCGTGGATCAGCTGGTCAGTGCACCAGCTTAATGGGAAAGGCATTTTTCTTGAGGCTAACATTATTTGAAAGTTAAAGGGCCAATACCCACAGCACAAAAGCCTTGTAGCCTCTGGTCTTTGCTCAGGCTTGCTTTCCCCGCTGCAATGTCCCTTCTCCTTGAGTCTGTCTCAGAAACTCTGCTTCTCTCTTGAATGCCCTTTTGCTGCGGTCTGACGAAGTGGACTGAGGTTTTGCTCAGCAGACGTAGCACACTGGGTGCCTCTTTTGTCCTTCCCCATCAACACAGAAAGCTCTGAATTTGGCCACCGTTGACACCCTAAATTTTTGGTCCAACTTCCCAACTACTGGCACAGGTCTTCACATCACACCGCCTGTCTACCCAACTCTGTACTTCATCCCTAATCTCTCTCTTCCTTTTAGAAATGCCAGCCTACATTCCTAAGTATCAACAGCACATTAAATATGTGCTGTAAAACAATTGCAAAAAGCCCTCTTTCAAAGCAGATGCAATCTCTTTGCCTTCTCTATTCCCTGGTTAGCCTTCAAGCCATTGCTCTTGTCAGTGCCTAAATCAGTATGTGCTCAGGAGCAGCTTTGCCTCAGAGGGCAATAAATGCCACTTGTGTGGTGGCTTTTTAAGTTGTCTTCAGTTAAACAGTGTAAACAGTTAGACTAAATGTACATGCTTACAACACAGATGGCTGGCCACACCAAATCTATGGAGAGTTGCTCCATACAGTAGGCTTAAGGCATGATTCATCTTCTCCTCAAGTAAACTTTTAAAATAAGTGACATGAAATTCTGTTATTGAGTGCGATGAATTCAAGAGAAAGCACAAAAGTGCTTGTTTGGGTAAAGGGAGTTTCCATCCCTCATTAGCTGGAGGCAGAACCAGTGTCTCAGCAGCTGAGTACTGGCATCACATATAGAAGGGAGGGGAATTGCCTTGCAAATAGCCTGTGTCTAATGTAGTCACTAAGGGCAGAGCAGAGAGTGGCCGCCTGGCTAGATGTGACAACATCAAAGCCGAGGAAGACCTCCTCACTGCCATATCTTGCGTGGACATTAGCAAGCAGAGAGTGAAATAGGCTCTTGTACAGTGGAAGGGGAGATAATAGAAAAAGTGGTGTTGTAATGCTACTTTTCCTGCTAAAAATGGCTTTTCTAAACATAGCCTATATGAGTCTTTCAACACTGACACATTGTGGGGTCTACTCTTTATGAAAAAAAAAATCTTCTGGCAAAATGTTAAAGCTCATTTCTACCTTTAGTGCCTGCCATCTAAAGGGTAAAGCATCTTACATAAATAGAGATTTTATTTCCCAGCATTATAACAGCCATTCTGAGGCTGGATCAAATCAATCAGGAAGGCAGAAACCCCATTAGGTAGAAACCCATCATAAGGAAGAGGGGATCTCTCACCAGGTGGGGCTGCTTTCCAAATATGTCCCTGAGTTGCCTATCAAAGAGGGTTCAAGGAGAGAACACCACCACAGTCAACAGTGAAACTGCTTCCCTCTTTAAAAATATAGCCTAGTTTAAACTTAAGTAGCTCAGGTAATGGTGGCAAGAAGGCTCAGCATCATAAAGTACCATAAGACAGGAACAATCTCATGAATTGCAGGAGATCTGCAGTAGCATATCTCCAGCTTGGGCTCCCCCAGGCTCTCTGTGAGGTTGGTGAAGAAAGATGTATTCTACAATACATCTGCTCCACTTTAGGTGTCTACGTGCAGATAAGAGAGATCACACCCTGTACTCTGGTGACTATTTTAACCGTATCTCTGCTGGCTAGAACAGGGGGTTGCTCCCAAATAGTTCATCCAAATCTGTTCCAGTGCAGCAGAGAAATTCCCATGTTGCAGAAGATCCTCAGGCTGCAATTCATTACTACCACGTCCTCAAAGCAGTACATAAAAATATCGTTTCTCTGCGCAAAGCAAAAAGTGGCTGAGGTGGGAGCAACTGCTCACATAGCCAAATATTTACCAGCACAGAGTCAATAACTGTTCTTGCTACCCTCCACCTCAGGTGGTCCTGTTACCACCACTTTGAAAAAGGGGCTGTAGAAACCAGTTGTTGACCATCTGTGTGATTCATCTCTGGGCAGTTACAAGCCACAGCAGTAACAGAGAAGAAGATAGTCTATCAAAAATGCAGCAGTTGACACTACTTGTGGAAAAAAAATAAAGTGTGGAAACTCCAGGCTTGGGGTTCCTGCTGCCACAGGACTGTGTTCAACAGTTTCTTCTCTGTGACATTAGTAGCTCTACAAATTCAATTTTATTCTCTTTTATGCAGAACTCGCACACACTTTTTGTCAGCAGCCTTTCCTTGTCCCATAACTTATTCCAGTTCCTCATGATGGGCCCCAACCTCCTACTCCTGTAGTTTCAAAACAACCATCCAGGAAACATTCCCCAAAGTTCAATCTCCCAACCTCCTACTCCTGTAGTGAAACAACCGTCCAGGAAACATTCCCCAAAGTTCAATCTCCCCCAGAGTAAATCCATGTTTAAGGAGTATGTGACAGATGCATCAAGATTAGTCCCTTTAATCTACTCCTTCATCCATGAGCTGCTAAATTAGGGCCAAACCTTTCTGGGCGCACTCGCACCGGTGCATCTCCGCACTCACACCGGTACATCCCCACCGGCTGCAGATACCCAAAGTGGGCTTTGGGCAAAAGAGATGATGTGTGCCCACCTGGCACAGCCCATATGCAAACAAAATGCATAGGGAAGCCGTAGGGACGAAGGTGCCACATTGCAGGCCCTTGTCACCTCAGCTCTGTGTCACTTTCCCTCCCTCGCTCTGCTCTGCCTCCACCTCCTGCCATCCCACCCCGCAGCAAGTTTCTGCCTATCCACCTGGCTCGCAGGAGGGAGCTGATGTGCACATAAATGGATTAGCAGAAGCACATGAGGATCCCCAGCGTGACATACTGGCGGGTGCTAGCGGAGGGTTGAATTAATTTTGGGTGATTGTTGGGGACGAGTCTCTCCCTCCAACATGCGACACCGAGAAAATGTGTTCTGTGCTTCCCGCAGTTACATAGCAACTGTTTTCAGTGGGGGAGAAATGTGAGCTTATCGCTGAATCCAGTCGATAATGCTCTAAATTCAGTGCAGTGAACACACATATCACTGGGAAGGCAACCCTGCACACAGGAGCTCGTTACATTTGCTGTAAGCCCGATGGGTGCCCTTGTCCTGGTAAGAGCAGGGAGTTACCCAGGTGGGCTCGATGGAGCCAACGGGGCTGTTGCCAACTCATCATCTCAAAGATGCCCAGGCAGCACTGATGCAACCAATATCTTCCTGGAAAACAGTTTCTAGAGGAGAGAAAGCTATTGCTAGAGGAGACAGGCTCTCAGGTGTATGAGTCCAGCTGTGGCTGCACATCTGGTGCTGGTGCAGAGGCCAGTGCTAGTGAATCTCTTTGGGCAGCTGATTTCCACCTTGGAGTTTGGTAGTGGCCCCTGAGAGTCAGCGGCAAATTTCCCATTGATTTTTTTTTCTCTTTTCTAAGCTGACCATTCTCATTAACTGCAAAATGTCCTGTTTCTGTGCTGCAGTGAAATCCTCACACAGCAGGTTATTGTGTTTAATTATTCATTTTCTGAGGAAAAAACAATCCTCCTTCCCCTTTCAAATCTATTCCCTTCCAATGCAATCAGATCTCTCCATGCTCATTAGTGTTCATACTGCTTCTCCTCTTAACCCTTTTCTTTATTTAAAAATATATATATATCATCAGCCCTTTTTTTTTTAACTGAGCATTCACAACTCCTTGTTGACTCAGCCTTCTTCAATCCCTGTCTCCAAAACCCTTTAGTTTTTACCATATCTACCAGGCTATAAGGTGATCAGAAACTAGACTTTGCTTTCAAGAGCCAATTCATATAGGCTTAGGGGGGTATTTTTTATCCCTTGGGAAGTCTGCATGCTTAGGAGTCTTCATTTTTTCAGGTTCAGGGGTCCAGGTAATATTTGCAGACAGTGCCACGGGAAGTCGAAGGGACTTGGAAATTTGGCTCTGGACCAGTGCAATGGGAGAAGTCTTATCCGCTCATACTGGTGAAATATGCACCTTATACACACTCTGCTGCGGTGCAGGAGGCGCGTTGAATTTGCACGTAGAACAGTTTGTGAACAGATTGAATTTGTGCACAGGGTATTGGATACAGCCTGCAATTTCCTTTTCCCTCTGGAGGTTGGTGTCTGTAGAGGATCTGAAGACACATCTATATCAGAAAGTGCATCATGATTCCCTATATGGGAAAGGATGTCCAGGTTGCTCAGGAGGTCATTCATCATGATTATGACTTCAGTGGTGAAACCAGCTTAAGAACTCCTTCTCCATTGATTTTTCTCTCCTCTCTAGTGCCCAAGGACTTCTGATCTCCAGGACCACCTCACTGAATTGATTGCTATTCAAAGTAGCAATTTTTGTAGGGTTCTTAGCTTCAAAGCTCGGCCTCACACATCATTTCATTGACTCAGCAGAGAGGCCAGTAACTGCACATCATGGCAGGGCCTCCTGGCATCAGCTCTGAAGCTGAGGCAGTTTTCCATGGATGTGTATCCAAAATCTACAGCAAGCAGCACTGTCTTGGCCAGAATCGTAGCTCAGTGTAGCAGCTTGTCACCACTCAGCAGGGTTTCCTTGCTTGAGTGCATTGCTCGGCCAACACAGTCAAACAGCATCCCAACTCGAGCTCAACAGGGGTGAGCACAAGTCAAGCAAGCCTGATCCTGCCTTCCCCTGGAAAGCTAGACAGGCCTCTTGGCTTTCTATGGGAGAGCTCACTCCATAAAACCATACAAGTCCTTCAAAGAACAACCCCAAAGTTACATGGAGAGCAAGGTGTGCTGTAATTTGGTGTGTTCACCACTGTTCGTTTCTTCTCTTGCAGGTCGGCTGCAAAGCCATGATGGTTTTCTTTCAGTACTGCGTCATGGCCAACTTCTTCTGGCTGCTTGTGGAAGGCTTGTATCTTCACACCCTGTTGGTCATCTCCTTCTTTTCAGAGAGGAAGTACTTCTGGTGGTACATTTTGATCGGCTGGGGTATGCATCTTCTCCAACTTGAATTCCAGGAGGTGATCCTGGCAGGCATTTTTAACAGCAGTTTAAGGGATATGGTGGTGAGGATGGGAATTTATTGACAATCACCAGGAGACTGTTCAGCCTTCAAACTCTGTCCGGCTCTGAACCACAGCTGCTGGATTAGGTCCTGCAAAGCTGCACTCGTGTTCTGTCACCCATCTGGAATCATGCGTGGTCCTTAAATTTTGAGTGTGGATCCCAGAGCAAAGCCAACCTCCTGGATTGAGCCCTTCCAACAAACCCTATAATCCCTTGCCCTCTCCCTGCATTCAGTCTAGCTATCCACGGAGATCTCATTGCCTATGTGCTAATATTGATAACCTCCTTCTTACTACATTCATGGTTTCTCTGTCTTTGGTATGAATCCACTCTTGCACACATACAAGACAGCATGAAATAAGGAAAACAAAATTAAACTGCACAAGGTTTCAGCCTGGAGCTGAAATGCTAACTTATGCAAATTAATCCTACCAGACCAGCTTTTATTCTTTTTCCCAAGAGACAACAGAGATCTCTTTTCCCCCTTAAGTTTTTTAGCTTAAGGCTTATATATAGGCAAGAAAAAATAGCTCTCCATTCCACATTCTTGATAGCTGAAATCAGGAAATAATTAGAGCGGGGAATAATCTTGAAAAGTGAAAAAAAAAGAAAAGCATTTGTGTCATGTACAGGGGTATGCCTGGACTCAGGATTTGATCAACTAGCCATAAAGTAACTTCCATCAAAAGTGACAGGAGTTACGCTTGGATTCACACACGGAAGAGGGATCGTTCTCAGTGCTATATGAGGTGATGGTAGCAGGCTTTGTTTCAGATGCAGTTAATCAGGTCAGACCTTCTTTACTTCCTCCTTGCTCACAGGCACTTGTTCCCTCAGCACAGTAGAGCTGGAAGATTTTAAGGAAATCTTTGTAGAGCTAATGGTTTTAAATCAAAGGAAATATCTTGCACTTACATGTATTTGGACAATTCTTACATGGACTGTAAACCTCTTGAGAATTTCTGAGGTTGCTTGGGTGAGGAAGGACAATTCAAATAAAGGATGGGTGCTCGAAGGACCTTTTAGCATTTCATTTCTTCATCCTTTTCAAGAGCTGCAGTGATCTGAAATGCACTATGAAATGACTGAAGATTTGGACACCCTTATTACAGTTCTTATTTTTTTTATTACCTTTGCTCTTAGAAGTCACAGTAGACAACACAAAATACTATGAGTAACAAAGAACAAAGAAAAGTTTCCTTCCTGGACTATTTCCTTTCTAAATGGAAACAAAAACAACAGACAGAGCTAGAAGAAAGGGGGACTACAAGCATGTACCATGACTGCTCGAGTCAGGCAGTAGATCATGGAGTGATCAAAAGAGCAAAATTAGATTCATTTGACCAACTACAAACATCTGGTCACTTCAGACTCCCCTTATAGCTAGAGGAGATAGTCACTACAGCCAAGATGGTCTAAGCAAACATTTCTTGTCCTAAAACAAACATCCAGTGTAGCTCAGAACTGTGTCTTAAAAGAATATACTTCTCTCCACCAATGCTAAAGAGAACTTACGATGACTGGGTTATATACCGATGTTGCACAATGCTGGTGTCTCAAATGAGGTGGGATGACACCTAGTCCTTGTGTTTCTCCATCACCAGTAGGCTTTTCAATAAAAAGATAAATCAAGTAGGGAACCATTTACAGGAAACTTATCTTACATGATCATTAAGAGAATAAGGCAGCATTTGCCATGTGAGCATCGAAGATGTGACATATTTGTACCCTTAGAGGAAGCCACCATCTCAATCAGAGATGATGGGAAGTGGGGGAGAACAGCATTGAAACAGACATGGATAACAATTTGTGACAGTAAAACCAACTCTTCTCTTGCAGGTGCCCCTTCTGTGTTCATCACCGCTTGGACTGTTGTCAGGATTTACTTTTCCGATATTGGGTAAGCCTATGGACTCCATTCTCATTCCTTTATACCTGTTTTATCTTCAGGGAAGGCCAAAGAAAGCTCTACAGCCCTTGTAGCCGTTATCTGCCCAGCCTCCTTCCTGACCTAACCTCAAGGGCACTCAGAGCAGACCCAAGGCATTTGGCTACCCAAAGCCTGGGAAATGCTCCCAGTCCTCCCTGAAGACATGTTCGTTATGCAGCCTTAGGCAAGTGGGATTAGTGATTGGGATTTGCAGGGAATTAGCAAAGAGACCTTGGCTAAAATCACAAATGGGCTATGGGCTGTTACTAACAATCATGTTAGGGTTATGGAATACTAGGAGAATATGTCAAATAATCAAAATGGCAAAATTAACCTGCAAACAAAATTAACTGTGTGGATTGATTTGGTTAAATGAATGTCACAAAAGTATCTTTACATTCATGGAAGAACACATTAGAAATTAAAAAAATGTGGAACTTGGTTCTAAATAACAGTATTTTCCATAGATAATTCCTTTGATATTGAAATGAATGCGTAATGGGGCACAGGTTTACCAGAGAAGGAGGGATACTGTGGAGTCTTGCACTCATTTATTAATTATCACAATCAGCACACACAGCAGTGAATATGGCAGGCAAATAGCCTGGCAAAGCTCCCCCTATCCATGTCACACCTGGATGGGCCTTGGAAACTTCCTGATGAACAAATTCCTACTGACCTTCCCACTTCACAGAGCACAAGCAAAGTAAACACCAGGATCTTGAGTCTCATCAGCATTGTTGCCACCTTGGTAGCATGGATTTTACTTCAGGCTACTCACTTGATCTGGCAGATACCAATACTGATGTCACTGCAGCAATGCATTTCATTTCCTCTTGCTGCCCTGCTAATACCTTCATTGCAGCCTTATTTGCACAGGAGAATAGAAAACAGAACTCTCTGGGAAGACTTGTTGTTCTGCAAAAGTTAAATGAAGGCCACATGCGACGGTTACAGTCGGTGGCATTTCCAACATGTCCTTAGCTTTTTGTTGCATTTAGGGAGGTGCTTTGTGGCTTGTAGTGAGCAATAAAACTGATGACTTTTGGACCCTTCCCTAATTAAAGAACCCTTGTAAATATTTCTGCAATTACATGGAAATCACTGGACGACCCAGATGGTCCCACTTGGTCCTGTGGTCCTACATAACAAAGATATGAGTTGAGCAGCTGTCCCACGCTCTGAGTTGTGGTTTGCATCCCACAGAAATGACCCTGGTTTCTGACAATGCAGCAGAAACTGAATAAACACTCATTAGCACTCCCAGAAAAATAAACCAAAACAAACCAAAACAAAAAAACCCTACAATTTCATTTTTCTTCTTCCCTAGATGTATCTTTGCATTTGTTCTTCACCTTCTTTAAACTAGCAGCTGCCTTTGATGCTTCATCTAAGTAGCTAAAATGCAGCTAACTAAATGGGGCAGATAGAGGAACTCAAGGATATGTGCAAGTAAATAGGATTTGATCCTGCACTTCTCCCTCGTGCTTTCATTGAAACAGACTTGAGTAATTTGAAAGGCGTTTGTGAGAAAATACTCTGGAGACCTAGAGGATCAGGTGCTCATTATGGACTCACTGTGCATGCCCTTGCTTCCTGCATTTGCAGCATATGGTTAACTCCATTTTCTCCCTTGCATTCCCTCTCTCCAAATGTGTCCTCATTTGTCCTTATTTCAGGGAGAGAAGCAGCTCAGATTTCACATTGTGTTTTTGATGTATAGTCATGCTAACACATTTCCTGAGGGCCGCTGACTTCTTTTATGGCTTCACTCTTTCTGCATAAGACTGACCTTATTTAATCCTTTAATAAATAGCCTTTGTAATGAGAGACATCTGTATTTAACCACTCTGGCTACCAGAGTTTTAGTATATATCAGTATATATTCCCACACAGCTCCAGCAATTCATATTAAAAATACAGATTTTTCCTTGCATTTTCCTGGGGCTTTAAAGCTATACTTTTTTATGCATGTGAATTCAGAGTGTGAATTTACAGGATATGCTAATATCTAGTGTAGATTTTTTTTTGCATACTAAAATTAGACATAGCTACGTAGAGAAATTACAGGAAATTAATCCAGATCAAATAAAAGACTAATTATGTAGGATTAGCTAAACCGCAGTATACTACTCTTTAAAAATTCTAACTCCAAATTAAAGTGACCTTTATTCAGCCTGTCTGAATTCATTTTGAAAATGAAGTACCCTAGACATAATTAGGACCACTTTAAATGAAAGAGTAGCATACACCTGAGTAAATATAAACATCTGTATCTCAGCAGTTCATTCTGGTCTCCATTTATAGCCAATGGAGATCGAGTCAATGTACAGAGTGTAATTTTTTTCATCCTAAAGTCAAGGTCCAAAATCAACCATTATTTGCACTGTTAGAATGTAGTGTAAGATGAGACGAGTTTAGTGAAAACTGTTTTGAAAATGAATGCCGATCAATTTTCATGAATTTTCTCCTAAAGATGAGTTCAATCACTTGATAGTTGTGAGGTCCATAGAAAAATCCAATTCCAAGTAATAGTTTTCACTTTATTCCCATTCTGTCATTCACATGTTGTCTTTAAAATGTGTCTCCAGACTGCCTAGATGAGTGTTTTGGTTGCAGACTATCACAAAATGATTATTTCTCCGTGGAAGATGTTTTCCTCTTCTTTTGAAAAAACAGTAGTCACACCATCTCTCAAGGAATTAATGATCCGGCCTCCCGATTATTTCTCTGTGGAAGATGTTTTCCTCTTCTTTGAAAAAACAGTAGTCAGGTGCACACCGTCTCTCAAGGAATTAATGATCCGGCCTCAGCTGAAGTCTTTTAGGCAATGGAGTATGCATTCAGTTCTATTGCTGTAATTTTTAGGTTGTATGAGAATTTCTTCTTTTTAATTTCACTTTAATTTGAACTACAAGGCTCACTTTTAGATCCATTTCCAAACTCAGCCAATCTAGTCTGAAATTTCAGCTTTTCTCCAGTGATGTTCAAGTGAGTCTGAGGTGGCTGACACAAATTAAAGCCCAATTTACTCATTCCAAATTGTACATTAACCCTTCAGGTGCTCATCCCCTCATGAGAACATTTTGACTACTGCTTCACTGTTCAGCTTCTCTTTAGCCATGGAAAATCAGAAATCCTTATGCAGAATGGTAGCTTTTGGAGATTACACACTCCAGAACAGGTCATTGTGACTCCAATGAATTCAGGCTTTGATTAAAAGAAAGCACCTCCTATATAAAATAACAGATATAGATAACATAAGTAATAGATATAAGATAAATTACTGGCCTGAGCACAAAGTATTTTTATGGCCATTTCTCCTGTGACTCAAAGATTGAGAAATATGTTGCTAGAATTTGCCAGCTGGATAGCAGCTCCTATTGAGGCTTCTAATAAACTTCTGTGAGATTTTCCAGAATTATGTTTATACTGGCAAATATCTTCTAAGTGGGCCAAATACTGTTCTGAAGTCACTCTTTTATATGAAAAAGTTACTAAAATAAACTTCTAAAAGCATTAAAATAAATACTTGGAAGGAAGGAATGTTGGATAGTTCCTTTCATTCACAAATGTATGAAGTAAATATAGTCTAGACAGCTTCATCTCTCTTGGTGATGAGCGAAAAGAAAAAGATACTTTGAGAGTTGGATTCATTTTCTCACCTACATCCTGACTTTAGGATGAAATAAATCAAATCTTGGACCTTCTGAACTCATTTGACTAGAAAAATACCTCAGAGGAAACTAGCTAAATTTAATCAGATGGGATCCAGCCTTCTATCAGATGGGATCTGGCTTTGCTTCTGATGGTGCTAAATTTTGTGTGCTTAAAAATAATCTCCATCCATGATTATGGGTAGTATTGGTGGCTCCACAAATCTTCTTTTTTGATAAAATTTCATTTTTGCAGACCTCAGCTTAGGACAAAGTCTTCCCACACTTCCATCCTGACATTAACCTCTTCTGGCCAGTGCTACTGCCCAAAGTGTCAGTCACATCTGAGGCTCTCTCTGTCATAACCCAAGTTAAGCTCTACCTACCAATCCTCAAAGCAACTGCAGAGCAAGTCTTCGGCCCTTTCCAATTCATGCACAGCAGATATAGTCCTCTTCCTTTTGGAATCCAACCCTAAGCATTCTATGATTCTATGATTCTATGAATCAGGGAAAATAAATACCTGAGAAGGTTATATAGCTGCTTGCTTGCTTTGCTCAATATTTAAAGTCTTTTCCTTTTTTTTCTTTTTTTTTTCTTTTTTTTTTTAGGTGCTGGGAGGACATAATGGATTCCCCACATTGGTGGATCATTAAAACTCCTATTTTGTTGTCTATTTTGGTAAAGTATCAGTACATTCTGCTGACCGAAAAGCCCTTTTTTACATGGGGAGGGAGGTGGGGCTTGAGAAGTATTCTGTAAAAGCCACCTGCAGACAGAGAAAACATCCATGGAAAATGTGCTAACAGATAACACCCCATTAAATACGGAAGGTCTGTCAGTTTGAGGAAGCTCACCCTCTGAATAAACACCTTTATCTTTAAGCACTAATTATGGAAAGAGTTTGAGATATTGAGCAAGCGAGGTGGAACTCTTTTCATTTAAGTCTGGACTCCTCCATCTCACCTCGTCACCCTGGGCACTCTGGTGCTGTAGCCACAGGTGCGTGTAGCTAGTGGAGATGTAGGAATGTGATTATAGTTCCAGGACAGGGTCATCTTCTCTAATGAACCAATGGATGGATAACGAAAATAGATCAAATGAATTATGGCGTGAATGGTTTTGTTTCTTTGAGCTGGCCATGTGGAAAGCTCGTGGTGACTTGTTTGGCTGTAGATGCCAACATTGCAAAGAAATAGGGGCTGAGTCCTACCTTAAATGTGTATCTGGCTAAAAAGAAAAGTTAGACTCATTTCCCCAGATATTTGCCTCTTGTGATAGCATCCAATACTGAGTCCAGCTATATGTTTCAAAAGTAAGTTCCTGAGAGGCTTGGCTAATGGCAAGAGAAATCAAGAGTTCGGTTCACTGCCCAGGTGATCAGTTCTGTCCATAAGAACCATGATGCTCCTGAGGAACTATAAATACTTCCACCCATTTTTAATATTATGCATTTTCTCTGCCAAGTATGGAGCCCAAGCATGAAATCAGAATGAATTTGAGTTAAATTTAGCTTTGAGTTTTCTCAAATCAAAGGAAGTGTGTGTGGAAAGGAAGAAAAATGAAAACCACAGAAATAAAACTCCTTTAAATGGATTTTTTTTCTTAGACATACATTTTCCCTATTCCGCATATGTTTTGCTTTTTGCAAGAAGACCTTTCCCATATCATTTCTCATACAAGCGTTCACAAAAAAGTGAAACATTTTGAATGATTACCTCTAACTTTATTCACTTTACTGAGAAGATTAAAATGTCTAGATTATACCTCTCAAATTGCATATATCATTGTAGGTGCTATAGATACCATTTTCTTGAGAT